TGCATTTCCTCTTTGGAGAAGTGTCTTTTTAGCTCTTCTGCCCATTTTTAGATGGGTTTATTTTTGTTGAGTTTCATCAGTTCTTTGTATATCTTTGTGATCAATCCTTTATCGCTAGTTTTGTGTGAGAAAATTTTTTCTCAACCAGTGGGATGTCTGTCTTTTGTAATGTCTCTTTTGCTGTACAGAAGCTCTTTAACTTGATGGAGTCCCATCTATTGATCCTCGCCTTCACTATCGTTGCCTTAGGTGCTGTGTCTTCAAAGATGTTACTGAAATGTACCTCCTGCAGTGTTTCACCCATCTTTGGGACAGCAGATTTTTTAACTAAGGATACAGATGTGCCACCACCACCCCACCCCCACGCAGCCCCCTCAGAACCACTCAGCCTGAGCAAGATTATTGGGGTTAAGAGTGCTCCCCTCCGTCTTCCACAGGCTGACCCTTCTCCTCAGCTTCTCTGGTGCTGCATTTCCCATCTCCTCCTGCCCCCAATCTATATTTTCTCCTGCCCCCCCAACTTTCAAACATTTTTCCTTCTAGTGATTCGGATTTTCTCTACCAAGGACACCAGGAGTTAATCAGACTAGCTGAAGACAGACAGGGTCATCAAAGACAATCTTGGAGCCAAGCTCTCAAGCAAATCCAAAGTGTTTGTCTCTCTGTTCACTTCCTTCTGCAAACTCTCCACTGGCACCGAGGAGCAAGACTAAAGCCAAAAACCTAGAAACTTTTGGCTTCACCAACCTCCCCCGCCAAGCCTGGCTGCGGTCACAAGTTGCTCAGCCCAACCTCCCCCGCCCTGCCTCAAGTTGGCCACTTGTGGTGACCGGCAACACCCGGCTGAGCTGGGAGGGAAGCAGCGACTGCTTCCTGCCCCCGCCTGTGTTCAACGCCTCGGGCCCTGGGGTGTCAGAGCCCGCACAGCCGAGCCTCGGGGCCGCAAGGTTCCTCCCCGCCCCCACCAGTGATGGGGGCCCTGTGGCGGGCCGGGTCCCTTGTGGGGTGCAGCGTCCTGGAGACAGGCCCTGTGTGGGCGCCGGTCAGTTTCCCACCACGAGGGGCCTGGGACCGCGGAATCACAAAAGGGCGACTCGGGTCCCTGGAAAATGCGGCCCTGGAGTGCGAGCTGGGCCTGCCCGCGACCCACCTCCCTGCCTGCACCCCGTGGCAACCCCTGTTGCCGGCCCCACCTGTCCCAACCCGGTGGGGGGCCACGTACCTGTGGTTGGAGGGGAGAAATCTAATGAAAGAAAATGAAATAAAGTTTAAATATATCAATGAAATTTAAAACGAAATAACTAAAATACAATAAAATATTGACTACAAGGGCTTTTTTTTTTAATGACAGACATGTATTTTTTACATCATTCATTTTGTACATTTTTTCATCTCGGTTGTAGTCCCGCGGACACCCACCACCACTTCACCTGTGCGCCTCACCATTACTATGTGCTCTTCCGCCCAGCTTTGATCTTGTTCCCCGGAGAATGTCTCTGGTTTACAACAGCTATTTGTTGTTGCTTTCTTTTGACTTTATTACAATTCCTTTTTTATTTTCTGATCCCGTACAGGTCTGCTATGAGTGAAACTGATCCAGGAATAGTCAGGAGCCTCCCCAGCACTGGCTCTGACAAGGAATCTGGGGCAGAAGGGATTAGCACAGCTATAGAAA